GGATTTTTTAGAAATTTTTCAGCTGTTCCTAAGATAAACTTAATAAAATATATAAAAAATGTTTGACCCATATTTATTTATTTTTTATATATTTTTCAATTATATTAAAAATTTATTTATTTATTTTTAATATTTGGCAAAAGTTATTTAGTAATTTGATAGGTATTTTATAAAAAATTCTTAATTTTCTTTAATATTCTAGATTATAAAATATTTAAAAATTATTTTTAATGCATTTTTCAATACATTTTTTGATGCTTTCATATATGCATTTATAATAAAATCTCTATATGAAAATATATATATATCTTCCCACAATGCTGGTCTTACGTCCAACTCAGGTTACCCCAAGCCCGCAATGAATTATTTTGTTGCCTTTTCATAAGTTTCTGGCTGAAACACGTTCAGTGTTCTATCGCGCTCCTCTTCTTCTACAATTTCTAGCCGTTATCGCCACGGTGTTAGCCAATTGACTCATCGAGCTGCATATTTTTTTGCTGCTGGCCCAATCGGGCCTGGTCAACGGGCTCCTTTGCGTGCTGTTGGCCACGAAACGAAACGTTTATCCAACAAAACAATTTGAAATGCATTTTGCGCATGTGCCAGCAGACATGACAAATTCGCAAATTGGCCGAGCAGAGCGACGCCGGCGTCGACGGCGCAGTCGCTGCTGTCACACACTCACCCAGATACCGACACTGGCGACGTTTATTACAGTTACTTCAATCAAAAAGGCAAAACACGGGCTACTCGTCTTGCAGCCAGGCAAACTGATTGCTGCCAGCAATTGTTGCTGCCGTGCAGTGGCAACAATTGCTGCTGTTGCTACTGCTGCTGCTGCTGTTGCGCAATCGTGCGGTCAGCGGATCAACTGTAAAAACGTGCAACGTTTAGTGTTTAGGTGAGAAACGAGCGCAGTAAATGAAGACGACGACGAAGACGGCAAAGCAATATCAGTGAAAGTGCGAGCGACACACGCGGCGTATGAGCAATATTTTAATTGCCACTGTTTCACACGTCGTCGCGCCTGTCTTCGTGTTTGTCTTCTTCTCCTTCTCCTTCGTCTTTGTTGTTGTTGTCTTTGCTAAAAAAGACCAGAAGCACTTTTTTATTAAGGCTCTCGCGTTGATTGAATTTCGTTTGCCTCTGTTGTTGTTATTATTGTATTTCTTCTTCTTCTTCCTCTGGTGTTTCTTTTGATTACGTTTTAATTTACAACTGGCACGCCCCTTCGCCGCATACCTGTAGCCAATTTTGTTAGCTATTTGGGTTTCGGTGTCTGTTTTATATATTTTTTATGGCATCTCTATATACGTAGATATTTTTTATAGCTCGCTCGCGATATGAACAGCTATGATTAACATTATTGTCTGCTTCCTTAT